GAACCCTTACAATTACAATCATACAATATTTTGTTTACATACGAATGTCATCATTAATGACTATTGTTTCATTTCAAGGAGAGAGTTTCTACAAAAGCTTCTAGCTTTCTACTCAATCAGTTTTGCGTTTTATTGTAATATAGTGTGAATATATATTTGACTAAAATTAAACCAAATAAACCAAAAGAACACATTTGCCGTGATGCCGATACAAAAACAATTTTACATGAATAAAGCATTGTGTAACAAACTAAATACGTACGTGTTAAAGGTTTAGGCCATATTCATTGAAATTATTCCGTTTATCTGTAACATATGAAGGGCCACAGCGCCAAATACATGTAATATCATCAATAATACGGAATTGCACATATGTTCATCATATGATTTAAAGCAATATAATAGAAAAATACAGAATCCCTAAAGAAGGCCCAACACGGCAAAATTGAAAATGTTGCAGGCTCGGTTTGATTGAGCCTGTTCATGGACGGTACTGGAAAGTGCAAGTTACCGTCCACGCCCCCTAGCACCGGCTTAAGCAGAATTCAACATTTAAACGTGAAATAGTAAAATTTAGAATTTTGAAACATCCGCAGATGTGTTCATACGGCGGTTATCATGGAACCTTCAATGTGACACTTCCGTGCCATTCCATGAAAAGCGGCGTATGGTCCCCAAGTAACAAAAAGCTTACGCCCTAAACGAGAAAACAATGGGCGGAACTAAATAAAATAGAATTTTGAAAGGGGATCAGAGGTTATGAAGTGAAGCCTGCGTATCACAGATAAGACGTCAAAAGACAAAAAGATAAAAGACAAAAAGATAAAGTCTGCTATGTTTCCTATAGCGAATGACACAAGTCAAACAAAAAAAAAAAAATTCTGGAAACAAAGTGATCCCTCGGAAGCATTAATCACAACAAAATAACATAAGAATTGCAGTCTCGGTTTGATTGAGTCTGTACATGAGGGATAATGTATAAGTGCAACATCCCTCACGCCCCCTAGCACCGGCTTGAGCGGTACTCAATTCTTAACACTTTATAGTGTTGGCATCAATGATCCCGAAGGACCAGAAAATATAACAACACTGAAGTGAAGTACGGGGCAACTTTTTACGGCTGCCACACGGCACTTGACACCTGCTGTTGTGAAGTACAAAATTCTGGAAACAAAGTGATCCCTCGGAAGCATTAATCTTCCGATAATAAAACTATATAGGTGCTTATTAAGATATGTTGTTGTTTTGAAACGCATAAGGATAGATAAGGATCCGCATGACAGAATCTGCTTACATTAAGACAAACAAAACAAGAAATTGACTAATGTGCTTATCATTATCACAAAATATATCTTTAAGAGTCAAAAGGGATGGTTTTTATTTTTAAAGCACTTCCGCTGACATAAGCATCAAAGATGATATTTAAAATATAAATAGTAAACTTATAAGAGAAAGTAACAAAAATATGTTATTCAGCAGTAGAAACAAAACAATATATAATTTATTTTTGTATTTTAAAGTCTTTCAAACAGAGAATCTCCTAAAATAATAATGATTCATGTCATAACAAGAGCCATTGGGACCTATCGAAGGTCTCTCGTTGCTATCAGATCATGCCTATGATACTCCTATCATTGCCATTTGCAGTGTTGATTTGTTAACGACTTAAAGTCAAATATCAGAGAAGTTCATGACAGACAACTATTAAAATCAAATAAAGCTTTAGCCCATGATGCTCTGACGATTATAACATAATACAAGATAACGAACAGTGCTTATGTCAGCACATAATCATATACAAAACGTTGTAAGGGCAAATCATGGCAAACACTAGTATGCATTATTCTTTTGTTATCTACATGTATAATTATATAATTTTACAGAGCAAAAACAAAGCTTAAATTGTCACTCTGTATATAAACATGTATAAAACCGATACACTCAATAAATGAGTCATGTGATGAAAAACAATGCTATTTTCATGTTAAGCTAGATCTAGGGAGTTTAAAAGCTCTTCAAAAACACAATGTTGACATATTAATCACGTATTAAATGCGTATATCACCATATTAATAGTTTCAGATATTAATGGACCTTCGTTGTTTTCAAAAACACATGTCAATGCTCGTCGTATATAATATATATATTATCAATATTATATTACACCTTAGACTTTCTTTGACATTATTTATCAATATAACAATAACGATTTTCACTTTCGATATATCTATATGTAAGGGTCATCTAGGCATAGTAAATGAATTGTATGACATAGATCCGATGCACTTGGTGGATGCATCAGCTGTTTTATCTTACATCTGGTTTTAAGGCTTCGAGAATCAATATATTGATATCACAAGAGATCCAGTCAATCCAATTTTGATGGCCAAACATATTGTAGCCACACAAAAAATACATCCTCATATGTGTATGGAACCATTTGTTTGTTTTTTATCTGTTTTTCGCTGGTTTGAGCTTTTCGGCCAAGGAGGTCATGCTTAATAAAGTTAAATTTCTTCGTTTATTAACAGCTTACTCAACAGGTGACGGACGACTTATCCTTCCGATTTCATAATATGCAGTGATGGTCAAATGGCCATAGGACTAACCGTCCTTGATCAATTGTCACTTTGCCCAGTAGGCCAGTCATAATAGAAATTAACAGGCTGGGGAATATTGCCGATCGAGCTATATAGCTCGTTTGAGCTATAATAGCCCGTTCGGGCTATAAAAAGAACAAAAGAAAGTGTCAAATGTCCTTTGAAAAAAACGACTATCCGAAAGCGCATATCCGAAGTATACCTAAACTACTCCATGTTCCCTAACACTTCGAAACGTGACATTGGTAAACACAAGCAGCCTCTGACATGCTGCGCCCACACATATAATGTTGGGAGAATATGTAAATTTATCTTATTAAATAGTCACCTGCATCTAAATAACTCTTATTTCTTCGTTTCGTACTTTTTCCAACACTGCAAATGTACCGGAAGTAATGAAAATACACGAACGAACACGCAAATGTTGTCATTTCGTCAGCATCTGAAGCTGTCTAAAAATAGTAACAAATGGTAAAGGGTGGCCCAAAAATATTCTATTCCTTCAATTCTTTCAAATATCCGTTTGTTTACTTTTTTGGTGTTTTTCGGCCACTGAATGAAAAAAATTCGTTTTAACTCAATCATTGTTTTAATGTAGAGGTCAAAGTTGAAGTCCGTGATTTACTATATACAGGTCAATACAAGGTTATAAGGAGGGAATGTTATTTTTGTATACAGTGTATTCATTTTTCAACTGTTAAGATGCCTTCATGCGGATGCAGAGAACATGATGTCATTTGTGATGATGGTGAGTCGGGGCCCATCTTTAAACTAAGCAATAAAAAAATAAAAAAGGATACCATTCACATTTTAAGACAGAAAGAACTTATCAGTAAATATTGTAACTTTGTTTGTGAAAAATGTGTAAAATGGGTCGAAAATGATAATAGGGGTGTTAAACGCATTCGAAATACATGTGAGGCATCTGATGTCATTAAACAAATAAGTGAAGGTGGTTTTAGTGAAGAAGAGCTAAAGGATATTGTTGGTGCAATCGGCAGTTTGTATCCGATTCTATTTATGAAGATAGTGTAAACGTTAGTGAAAGTTATATAAACCCAGAATTCCTAACATCTTTAAATTTGGAAGCCTGGTTGAAAAACCGTAATTGTATATTAACATCATTCTTATTAAATTGCTCCAAATCCACTTATACTGATAGAAAGAAAGTAGTATGTATAGCCAGTGGCGTTGAAAGTGTGTATAAAGCGAGAAATCAGAAATCAGTCACGCCGTTTGCTTTTGCAAATAACTTAGTGGCCTATTATATAAGCCACAGTAAAACTGTTGTTTCGTTTAATAATACTCACAAGCCTGCTGGGAGCTACAGGTCATTACAATCATGGCTAAAACGAATAGCCACAACACCCTTGTCTCGTGAAAATGAAATGTTGAAAAAAGATTCAATTGTCTTTTTTGATAATAATCAAATTTTAGCACGAAACTGGAGAGTTAATTATAACTACAAAAGCAAAGCAAGTGTTGTAACCACCACAAGCAATATAACATTTCAATCACAGCTGCAATACAATAATTTGTACTCTCCCAGCAACTGGCTGTATAACTGCGACCCCAACATTCCTATTCGTGAGATATTAAGCACAAAAATTCGAAATGTATTCCTCCAATCAAAAATCGAAAAGATTATAGAGGAATCAACTTTTATAAATGGCATTTTCAAGGACAGAATTAGCAGATTGATAGAAGGTAACGTATTTGTTTATATCATCTATAAAATTTAATTTGATAACTTCCCATTGCAACTAATTGTAATAATACCTTTCATAAAAAGTAATTGCTACATATATTAAAGGCACATTATACCTCGGTAATATGAAATATGTAAGAGGATACCTGAAGAAAAAATCTTAAAAAATGAAGTTAAATCGTTCATTACACGTAATGGGTCTTTAAATTTAATTATAAATGGTTGCTTCTGTAATATAATAATAATAATGCACTGTTGTAAAGTATCGCTTCATTGGTCAATTCTGACTTTAAAAAATATTATTGTCATACATCAAAATATGAAAAGTATATTGGAAAACATTTAAACCTATTTCATTATATGATATTGTATCAACGGCTGTTTTCAATATCAATGTCCTAAATCGTTAAAATGGTTATATACACGATTATCTGAAATTGAAATAATATGTTTTCCATGTGAGAAGTGTAAGTGTGCATTCGAAAGAAAATGAAAAGGTTGTAAGGTTATATAAATATTCTCACCTATCGAATGAGGTGATATAATCTGAGAGCCTTTGACATGGGCTCATAAAACCTTATAAGAGAAAATTTATTAAAAAATTAATTTAAAGGATGATCAGAATTTTAATATCTATGCTTTAAGGTTAAATATCATTTTGTTTTAGATAAATCTTTCATTTTTTTTAATAGGAGAACCTGTCTGTTCTCTTAATGACCAAAGTAAAGTACCTTACGATTGGGTACCAAATCAACACCTGGAACCTGAGCCGGATATTTCAATTGGTGAAATTTTGATGGATAATCCATGTTCGTATGAATCAGTTAAAAGAGTTATCAAAGTAAGTTACATGTTAAAAAAAAATAAAATTAAACGTTGTTTTTTATTATTAGTGTAACCAATGGGTGAAAATATGCAATTAAAATTTTATTATATACAACATTAATTTCTACGCTATAAAATGATTATTTATGCTTATATCTCTTAAAACTTATAAATAAAGTTCATTCATAACAATGCTGAAAACTAATTTTCAACACTTTAATTTAAGGAAATACGAAAAACTAGCGGAGTGACAGAAGATAACTTAAAAACATGGTGTATTATGGGATGCGACGGCCTTCCCTATACGCTAGGATCGAGACTAATTGAAAAAAATAAAGATATGCAAAATATCTTACTTATTCCCGGTAATATTATATTCAATTTTTGTCATATATAAATAATTTTTAATTGTTTTGTATATTCTTACATGATAATGAATGAATATATCAATATATCAGTCAGGCTGTTTCTGATTTTATTTGATGATTTTTTTGCAAAATGTTTAAGTGACTTTAAAAAATTTTCAAATATTAAATTAATAAATCACCGCTAATCACAACTGAAAAAGATGTTAATAAAAATATCATTATAGCATCAAAATATTTTAAATTTGCAATGCAGTGTTTGGATTCAGTGAATTACTCAAGGCTAGAAAATTGTAAGAAATGTCGATATGAAAATAAAAAAAAATATGATTGCAACATGTATTCTAAAATTGGTATTTTTTATCTGAAGGACACGGGCACATAGAGATGAATGTGGTAAAAGCTGCTTTTAAGTTACTGTGGGAGCCCATTCTACAGGACTTAAGTAAGGAATGTGGTTTCAAGTCACCAAGGGCACAAGTTGCGGCACAATCGTGTACTGATCACCACAAATCATACATGCTTTTGGAAATAATGTTTGAAAGTGCTTTGCAGGAGATCATGACAACTTTTATCATAAATAGTGTGCAGAATTCAATAACACCTAACATAGCCACTTTTTTTGATTATATAAAATCTTCAAAAGACAAAAATTATAGATTTATGTGTGACGCAATAATAAACTTTATTTTTCCAATATTTCTATATAGAGCCGGTGTTAGGAGAAACAATTTCGGATATATATCTGCAGCTAAAGCTAAATTTTTTAAACTATTTTTTTCTGGCAGAATGAAAAATTATCAGCAGCTTATTATGAAAGATATTAAAACATACATCCTAGCACCTCCAGAAGTGAAGCATTTCTTACAGAAAACCCAATCTTTTACTGGTAAATCTACTGTGTTCCCTTAGGGCTACTGCGACAGACACATAAATAATAAAATATGCAGTACGCTGTCCAATTGTTTTCCATGTTTTCGTTCTTTAATTGAATTTTTTTGTGTTCGCGCGCGAATGTGTTAGTTGCGATTGCCCTAATGGTACACCATAAGAGTCATATATGATATATGATATATATATTTTTTTAATATTATTTTTTTATTGCTATTTCAATATTGATTTAAATGCATTATCAATAGTTACCAAAAATCGTTATAATTTTGTTTACAGAAAAGTATCTGTATTTAATACAACACTATATGTTTATTATTTAAAGTTATGAGAATGAAAACATTATTTATCATTATTTAAAAAATATATTTATGTTCAGTCAGTGGACACCCTTCAAAAGGAGAAGGTGGAGATTTCATTCTTGAAGCGATTAATAAGAAAATCCAAAGATGGTTGCCCCCGGGGATACCGCTTGAAAAACATTGGCGACAGGTGTGTCGAACTGCACATATACTTGATAAGGTTTGTTTATAAGCATAAAAATAAAGTAAACCCTTTGCAGACCTGCCATATATACAGTGATCACCTCTTTCTAAAAACACGTTTTGTTCAAGAAAAAATTAAATTGACTGTTCATAAGTGTTTGTCTGCGCAATTGAAATATTCGATTCCAACAATTTAAATCACCGTACTACATTTACATGCATTATAATAAATATTTTGGACTTAATTTCTTTATTTCTTTGTAATTCATACTCCAAAAGTTATTGTCATTTATCCTTCATTTTAATAAAAAAAGAATGAATTATATTATAAAATGATGTTTTAGATTCGTGAAAATACTTTACAACAGTGTACAATAACCGAGGACAGATCGTCATATGTTTATAAAAGAGATATATCAAATGAAATAGAGAAATACCGGATGAGACTGAGGAAAATAGGATATCTTAACAACAAACAGACGTTATCAAGGTATTTGAAAGCATTGCTTCATTTCTTACGGCTGTCACCGATAAATTTCTAGCCAAATAAAATGGATGAATATTTTCATGGACTTATGTAAAACAAATTCAGGTATTGTATGTTATTTAAATCAAAATAATATTAAGAATTTTGTTAATATACATTATGTTTCCTGATTTCCTGTGAAAATTAATCACTACTTGATAATATACTTTTGTTACGAGCCAGGCGTAACGAGAAAGAAAAGCCAGCAACAAACTTGTAGCAATAACAAATTTATTACAGAAAAATTATTAAAGAAAAATAAAATAACAAATTATCTTTACAAATACCTGAAGTCCAAATAAAAATTACAAATGTCTAGTCTGATCCTGGAATGATCCTTTTTCAATAGCACAGTTAAATCCAAGTTAAATCCAAGAACACTTTAGAATAAATTCCCACAATAAAATCCACAAGAATAATTAATAATCCAAGCTCCAATAAATCACTTAATTTCCAAGTTGAATAATACTCCAAATATATTGATGACTTAAAAGATCACTGATGACTAAAAAGGTAACTGATGACTTAAAGATAAGAGTTATGAAAAATGTCTCCTTATATATATTAACTAAGAAGTTTCTAGAATAGTCTTCCATTTACTACAGTAATCATAATCTAGCAACTTCAACAATAAAGATCATTCCAGAACTTTCTATCTAAATATAATGCATGAGTTTTCCACAACAGTTAAGAACGTTCTAGTACATACATGTAGTTTATGTTCTAAAAATAGAACAATGACAATATTGGAAATACCAACTGGTCAGATATAATCTATATACATGTAATATGTTGCATACATAACACTTCCCCTCTTCAAGAAAAAGAAATATTAATGAAATGAATATTTCTTTTACATAAATTCAAACAATGTAACTTACAAATAACATAGGAGAAATGTTAAACAATTTTATACATTCATATATATGTGTATTACAAACAATAGCAAACAACAACAAAAACATAACCAATCATATCATATAAATGCTATTACAAACAATAGCAAACAACAACAAAAAAAAATCAATCATATCATATAAATGTTAAATTTAAAATACTGCAAATAACAGTTTTAGACACGTGAAAGTGCATCAGGGATCAAATTATCTTTCCCTTTAATGTGTCTAATGTCAAGACTATATTCTTGCAAAAATAAGCTCCACCTCAACAACCTTTGATTTTTGTTTTTAAGTTTATGCAAGAAAGTGAGGGGATTGTGATCACTAAAGACAACAACAGGCAACTTTGAAGAAGTTAGATAAACTTCAAAATGCTGAATAGCAAGAATAAGAGCAAGGCACTCTTTCTCTATAGTAGAGTAATTTTTCTGATGTTCATTAAACTTTTTAGAAAAGTAACAAACAGGATGGTCAACACCATTGTTGTCTTCTTGGATCAATACACTTCCAGCACCTATGTCACTAGCATCTACAGCTAACTTAAAGTTTTTATTAAAATCTGGTGCCAAGAGAACTGGTGCACTCTTAAGTATGGCTTTAAGGCTGTCAAATGCCATTTGACACTTGTCATTCCAAATGAATTTGTTTCTTTTCTTTAGCAAATTTGTCAATGGTTCTGCAATAACCGAAAAATTATTACAAAATTTACGATAATACCCTGCCATACCAAGAAATCGCATCAGTTGTCTTTTACAAGTTGGCACAGGAAATTCAGAGATAGCTTTGACCTTAGCTTCTATTGGTTTTACTTTACCCTGTCCCACTACATGTCCTAAAAATGTTAAAATTGCATGACAAAATTCACTTTTTGCAAGATTAACTGTCAATTTAGCATCACTAAGTCGGTCGAAGAATGCTCTTATAGTTGTGAGATGTTCCTCCCATTCATCAGAGTAGATGATTGCGTCATCAATGTATGCGTCACATCCGTGTAGACCAGATATTACCATGTTTATAAGCCTCTGAAAAGTTGCTGGTGAGTTTTTCATACCAAATGGCATGACTTTATATTGATATAAGCCGTCTGGTGTTACAAAGGCTGATATTTCTTTAGCTCTATCAGTAAGTGGAACTTGCCAGAATCCTTTTAGAAGATCAAACTTTGTTACATACTTTGCTTTTCCAATTTTGTCAATACAGTCATCAATTCTTGGTATAGGAAATGAATCAGTTTTTGTTACAGAGTTCACTTTACGATAATCTGTACACATTCTATATGTTCCATTTGATTTCGGTACCAGAATACATGGAGAGCTGTAATTGCTTTGACTTGGTTCAATAAAGTCATTATCCAATAAATACTGAACTTCTTGTCTTAGGTACTTTTGTTTTACAGGATTTGTTCTATATGGATGCTGTTTTATTGGTTCAGAGTTTTCAAGAATGACGTCATGATGTATTTTGTCAGTTCGTGTGGGAATATCAGGAAATAAGTGTTCATATTCATAAATAAGCTGTTTCAGTTCATCTCGTTTCGACGGTTCTAAGTGAGCAAGTTTTTCATCCAGATTTTTCAGAATATCAGAGTTTTCAAGCTTCGCTGAACCAGGATCAGACTTTTCAAAATTTTCACACCTATTAGATTCAATTGAACATTGATTTTGTGGAACAGAGTTTACAAAAGATATAGGTTTACTAATTTTGCTATCTCTGTCAAAATATTCTTTTAACATATTTATGTGACACATTTGTTTTTGCTTTCGCCTCCCAGGAGTATTAATAATATAATTAAGATCACTGACTTTCTTTTCAATAGTATAAGGACCAAAGTATCTGGCCTGTAATGGTTTTCCAGTTATAGGTAAAAGAGCAAGTACTCTATCACCAGGGTTAAAACTTCTTTCCTGAGCATTCTCATCATACCTTGATTTCATTTTACTTTGTGTTGATTTTAAATTAAGTCTAGCTAACTCACATGCATTAGTCAACCTATTTCGAAAATCTGATACATACTGAAGCAAATTTAAAGAAATGTTATCTTCAGACAGGAATTTCTCTTTTAGAAGTTTTAAGGGTCCTCGGACAGTGTGACCAAATACTAATTCAAAAGGGCTGAAGCCAAGAGATTCCTGAACAGATTCTCTTACAGCAAATAACAATAAATGGATGCCTTCATCCCAGTCTTTTTCAGTGTCAAAACAATATGACCTAATCATATTTTTCAGAGTCTGGTGAAATCTTTCTAAAGCACCTTGACTTTCAGGGTGATAGGCTGAAGACCTATATTGAGTAATACCTAACTCGTGCATGACCTGCTGGAAAATACCAGACATAAAGTTTGACCCTTGATCAGACTGTACTGACTTAGGTAAACCAACAAATGTGAAAAACTTCACAAGAGCCTTGACAATAGTTTTGGCTTTAATATTCCTTAAAGGAATAGCTTCAGGGAAGCGCGTAGAAGCACACATTATAGTTAATAAGTACTGAGAACCTGATTTAGTTTTTGGTAATGGACCTACACAGTCAATAATAACTCTATTAAAAGGTTCATCAAATACAGGAATAGGCTGTAAATGAGCTTTAGGTATTGTCTGATTAGGTTTTCCAACCATCTGACAAGTATGACAAGATTTACAGTACCTAGATACATCTGCTTTAAGGCCAGGCCAATAAAAATGACTGAGAATTTTATGGTAGGTTTTATTAACACCTAAATGACCTGCCATGGGTGTTTCATGAGCCAAGCTTAATATTTCCTGGCGATATGATTTAGGGACCACAATTTGGTGATTAACAGTCCACTCCTCTTCAGCAGGGACATCGGGCGGTCGCCATTTTCTCATTAAAATCCCATTCTTTTCATAATAACAAACAGGGACTTGTAAAGCTTCATCTTCACTAAAAGCCTTTTGAAAAAGGACTGAAATCTCAGGATCATTTTGTTGTTCCTGGATAAGCTGTGACCTTGACAGCGTGTCATGACCTTGATCTTTAGATCTTGGTGTAGAAAAGTCAGATATTGAAAAATCTGTCTGAGTTTCAGGCAGAGTAGGAGTGTGAGAAAAATTTATTTCATTATCAAAAGACTGACCTATAAAAGTATCAGCTAAGTCAATATCTGAACAATAATTATCTTCTTGAATGGCCTTCTTAGCCATAGCTCGAGTAACTGCACATGAAGGGTAAAGGTCAGGAATTTCCTGCTCAATGGGGTCAGGTATCTGATCCACACAAGGAGTGTCAGTTACAAGTGGATTAACCACTACCTTATCTCCAGCTAAGTCATTACCTAGCAATAAATGAACACCTTTAAAGGGTAAGAAAGATCTTATACCTACAGCCACCGGCCCAGTTACCAAATCTGAGGACAAATAAATATTATGGAGAGGGACATTAGAAAAACCACATTCTACACCCTGAATAAGGACACTAGATCCAGAAGAAGTCTTCTCAGAAAAAGGCAGTGTATCTGCTAAAATAAGAGATTGAGAAGCTCCTGTGTCTCTTAAAATCTTAATAGGAGTAGGTGGGCAAGTATCACCGATAAGTGACACGGAACCTTCCGAAAGGAATGGTTCATAAATCTCCATTATAGAATCAGACTTGGGTTCTTTGACCTTCAAAATTGCATTGTTATCAATACAAGACTGAGGTTCAGACCTTGAAGTGGTAAGACCTGTGGGTTTGGCCTCATCACGTTGCTGTTGCCTCCTTTTTAAGGTAAAGCAATCAGAAATAAGATGTCCAGTTTTCTTGCAATAATTGCATGTAGGACGAGATAAGGGATTATGACCTTTATGTTCATCAGATGACTTTGGTCTGGGAGTATTTGACTGACTAGATGAGCCAGATAAATTACCAGAACTGAACTTGGAATTAAAATGTGAGGGTGTGGACTTCCCTTTATTTAAAAATGAGACTTTGTGGGTTAAAGAATAATCATTAGCTAGACGGGCAGTTTCTTCCAAAGTTTCTACCTGTTTTTCATCTAAGAAAGATTTAACATCAGAGTGAATGCAACGTTTAAACTCTTCAACTAACATGAGCTGTCTGAGCTTTTCATGATTTTTATTAATTTTCTTAGATAGACACCACCGATCAAAAAGTTGTTCTTTTTCTCTTGCAAATTCGACATGGGTTTGACCAATTTCTTTCTTAGAATTTCTGAATTTTTGCCTGTAGGCCTCTGGTACTAACTCATAACCTTTCAGAATTAATTCTTTTACATTATCATAATTAGAGCTTTGTTCGACAGTAAGTTGTGTATAGATTTCACGAGCTTTACCAATTAAGACGCTCTGTAAAAGTAATGTCCAGTGCTCTATTGGCCATTTTAAATTTTCAGCAACCTTTTCAAAATGAAGAAAATACTTATCAACTTCTTTTTCTTGGAAAGGTGGAACAAGCCTAATATTTTTAGTGACATCAAATTTTGAATTTATTCTATGTTCAAACTGATTTGTTCTCTCTTTGATTTCTAATTCTCTCATTCTTAACTGAAATTCTCTCTCTTCTCTATCTTTTTCTAATTTTCTCTCTTCTCTTTCTTTTTCAAACTGCCTTTCCCTTTCTTTTTCTTCCCTTTCTTTTTCTAACTGTCTTTCTTCCCTTTCTTTTTCTTCCCTTTCTTTTTCTAACTGTCTTTCTTCCCTTTCTTTTTCAAACTGCATTTTTTCTAGTTCAAATTTAAATTGTAATTCAAGCTCTTTTATCTTTATTTCAGAAATTTCAGAGTGCTTTTCAACAATCTGAGAAAGTGCATCTTCTCCAAAAATATCTTCATCCACAAAATAATGAATCAGAAGATTTTTAATTTCTTGTTTACGCATTGAAGATTTAATTTCTAATAAATTATACTTTTTTGCAAGATCGAGCAAATCAGTTTTCTTAGCCAAATCTAATACCTCCTGGGAAGGGTCAGCTACAAACTTTTCTAAATTAAAAGACATGACTGCTTGCTGCTGGTTTTAAACTCAGAAAGTGATGTGTTTCAAAAATTTCAAAATGAAAGGTACACTTAATAGAACAACTATGATATCAACTCAGATGAGTAAATACGGTAATAATAAAATGTAAAATAAATGGTAATAATTTCCAATAATGTAGCCAAAAAGAAATATTCAATCCCGGACGAGCCCCCAATTTCTGTTACGAGCCAGGCGTAACGAGAAAGAAAAGCCAGCAACAAACTTGTAACAATAACAAATTTATTACAGAAAAATTATTAAAGAAAAATAAAATAACAAATTATCTTTACAAATACCTGAAGTCCAAATAAAAATTACAAATGTCTAGTCTGATCCTGGAATGATCCTTTTTCAATAGCACAGTTAAATCCAAGTTAAATCCAAGAACACTTTAGAATAAATTCCCACAATAAAATCCACAAGAATAATTAATAATCCAAGCTCCAATAAATCACTTAATTTCCAAGTTGAATAATACTCCAAATATATTGATGACTTAAAAGATCACTGATGACTAAAATGGTAACTGATGACTTAAAGATAAGAGTTATGAAAAATGTCTCCTTATATATATTAACTAAGAAGTTTCTAGAATAGTCTTCCATTTACTACAGTAATCATAATCTAGCAACTTCAACAATAAAGATCATTCCAGAACTTTCTATCTAAATATAATGCATGAGTTTTCCACAACAGTTAAGAACGTTCTAGTACATACATGTAGTTTATGTTCTAAAAATAGAACAATGACAATATTGGAAATACCAACTGGTCAGATATAATCTATATACATGTAATATGTTGCATACATAACACTTTTATTACCAAATTTGTTTAAGTTTATTACATAATAAATAGTTTATTTACTGTGAATTTTAGCCGACATACATCTGTTAATGGCGAAATTTTGGACCACGAGCTTTATTTGTTTGAAAATCAAATAAATGTCAATATAGAAGCTTTCCTGAATTGTCATGAAAATCCGCAAATTACACCAGTTTTCACCACGGAGTTGCAGAGAACAACATTTCATTCCATTGAACGTAAAACAAAGGTATGTGTAATAGAAAGTATATTTAATTGTTGTTTCCTTCTATTATTGAAATTCAAATTATGGAATTCCTATGCAACACAGATATGTTTAAAAATAATAGAGATATAAACTATGAAATTATTTCATATTAAAGAAGCAGTTGAATGACATCATCGAGAGAGATCTCAAGGAAATTGAAGAAAACGGCAACATGGAAGACGCATATGTTTTTAAAAATAAGTGGATTAAAGTTAAAAGTAAGTAATTTAAGTTAAGAGTTTCAAAGATAAATCACATTTAATACAAACGTAATTAAAATGAATTTCATAATAATTTATTAATGCATTAAACATTTACATATTAAATTTTCTTAAATGATTTTATATGTTGAGGACAATAAAATTTCACTTTATCTAAGTCACTTTCTTTTTTGACAACAAACCCGGTACAAATGGAATGGCACCAGTAAGTACACGATTCAAACTCGCAGTTTACCCAGATGTCTTTCTTCCCCTTTCTCATATTTTCTTTTCCACAGACTTTACAATTCTCCTCTTCTGCCTGATAATATATTGATGAAAACTGTTTATCACACATCAATTATTTTATATATATTTAAAATTTACATCGACATCATATCACTATAATAGATAATAAATAATTATTTTTAACCAATCATAATTATATAAAATGTTATAAATAGTTTTGGTTATACAGAAAATTGCATTGTGAACTAAATTTCTAAATGTACATGTACAACTTATAAAATATGTATATATTATACAAGAATATTTGATTAAAAACCAAAAAGTCCTTACACTAGCATCATCATCTTTGCTGGTGTTAGATTGTGGTGGGTCAGGATACACCAAAAAATCAATATCTGCATGAGATGTTGAAGGAGTATTCACATCCTTGGATACATCTGTGTTGTCTAAAGGGAAAGAAATTTTATAAATATTAATCATATTACTTTTGAGATTATGTTTATTTTTAATTTGAATATGAGTATTATGTAATTATGAAATATAAAAAATACTATGTTAAAAATATATTTATGTTTATGCTCCTCCTCCTCATCAACATCATTGAATATCAGTTTTTGAATAATTAGTTATAATTACCAATACTATCCTCCCAGTTGTCAGTTCTCAAACACCCTTGCCGTCCCGACTCTGTTTTGTATGTTAGCTGCATTTGAGTGTTTGTTAATTTGGACAATTGTTTAATCTTAAAATAAACAAAGATAATCGTTTAAAAGAAACATTCATTTTAGGTCGGCCAAAACAAGAAATGCTTCAATTTTATAAAGAAATGGTTGCTTCTATAGAAAGTTCAAAGGCAGATTCAAATTACATTTCCGATGGTATAAAACTTTTGTTATAATTTTTCTTTATAATTTTAAGGCATAATATATGTTGTTAAAGCCTCTTCTAATTATGTATTGTAATACAACAAATGTAGTAAGAAAACAGAATAATCTTGTTAACAATAATTTTGTTTACCTTTTGTTGAATTGTTTTTAACCTTTTGCTCAATGTATTCGATCTTGCACAGCCATCCTCCAGATAATTTGTTGTCACTATTTTACCGGTATGATGGTGTTTGGCTCGACAATCCTGCCCCACCTTATTTTTTCCTGGGTTGAACGTTTTTCCCTTAAAATTGTAAACAAAGTTTGTAAATGATAAACGTATTTTTTTACAGGTAAATTAATACTCTACACACATGATTTACATAAAAAACAAAACAATACTGTTGTGTTTGTTTGAATCAAAATGCTATTGTTATAGGAAAAAGCAATTCTATATAATGTAAAATAAATGAAGCAAATACAAAGAATTAAATATTTCAGATGACAGTAGTGAGGACGATAATTCTTAACGATGTAACCAAAGGAAGAAGGTATAACATATTTCACAACCTACCATTATGGACACCTCGTATATAAGCTGCACGAAATTCACGTGTAGTTGTAGTCAATATTTAAGATACCGAATTGCTATTTGGCGAAAAAATGTGTAACAAGTATCCTCAGAAATAATGAATTTAAAATTTGGAAATTATTTTGGACACACACTGTACGTTTGTTACTATTTTTAGACGGCTTCAGATGCTGATTATGATTAACAAATATTTTGAAAAAAATAATTCGTTCGGTCTTTTTCATTCACTTCCGGGACGGCTCCAGTGAAATTTCAAGTTACGAAACGAAGAAATAAGAGTTATTTAGATGCAGGTGACTTTTTTAAAAGTAAATTTAATTTTCCCCTCCAACTTTTTAAAGTGTGGGCGCAAAAATGTCGGAGTCTATGTTTCCAATTACGTTTCAAGTGTTGGGGCGGATAGTTGGGTATATTGGATATGGCTTTCGTGTCGTTTTTTTAAAAACTTTTTGACATTTTCTTTTGTTCTTTTTTAGCCCAAGGGGTTTTTATAGCTCAAAGATATATACCCATGGGAAAAATTTTTCCCCAGCGATTAAGGGAAAACTTTCCTTCAAAACTGTTTTCCGTTTAAAATAAAAGAAAAAATTACTACTTTTTGAGAAAAAGTCCTCAAAAAATTTCCCCTTGCAAATCCAAAAAATCGTCAAAAAGATTTATTTAAAAAATCATATTTAAATTTTTTTTTAAATTCACCAAACTTTCTTTTTGAAAGTTGGGTGACTCACTTTTTACATTTTCGTTGAAAGATCTGAAGTTAATTCAATTCCAGCATTCAAAGTGCAAAGGTGAGTAATTTTAGTCATTTTTATATTCTTCTGTATAGATTAGGGGAAAATATGTCAGTAGATAGATTTAATTGACCACCAATCAATCGATTATGCAGATGACAAAATGTGTCATATAATTTCGCGATTTTAAACTCAATTTTGAATGAAGTAATCCTTAAAAAAGAGTTTATCTTTTACTCACTGTTCTACATTGCTTCCTTTTGTACAATTGTCTAAAATGACACAGAATTAACCACACATCTTACTGAGTATTTAAAAAAAATGTGTATGCACAAGTTATGTAATTTTTTCTTTCTACGGAAGCGTGTTGTGACCAAAATCACGAAAATCTAGGGATATTTTTAAAATGTTAAATTTGACTTATTTCAAAGAGTTGGCATGTTTTTTGAATTGTGGAAATCATAATTAAAACAAATAATATGTTAACTTGATGTAAACAACGTTTTTTGTAATACATTTTAATGCATTTTTAAGCGAAATGATAATATTCAAGCATGTTATATGTTATATTACACCCAATAGGGTGTAATCAAGCTAAAACTATTACCTATTAATGAGGAAGTTGTTACTGGAACTTTATACATTATTTTTACTTCTTAACAGAAGACATGGATTTAAAAACCCAAATTATTATGCCAATTATTTTATTTTTTTGTAGGCTCAATCATATCATATGCATCTGAGAGTATGGGGTTATAGCAAATCAAAAGATAATTGAGCGTATTCACTTGAAATATTGTGAAATAATTTTAAATGTTAGAGCCAATACAAGCAATGTTCGTATATACGGCGAACTCGGTCGTTCCCATTGTATATAAATTGATACGTAAGAATATTTTAATTAAATTTTACGGATGACATATGAATTAAGTTTATCTGATTGTTATAAATGGAAAAAAATGGGTATCAAATGTTAAAGAAATGCTAGATATGTATGGTTTATCCGAATACTTTTTTGAAAATAATATCGTAGATCGTAAATTATTTCCAAAAATATTTAAAAAGAGTTACTGATAATCATATACAAATATTGCATTCATCTGTTGAAAATGATTTTGTTTTATAACTTTGTGTAGCTTGATAATCTACCCTCATGATACCAGTGGCAGTTGTATGTATATTTATAGTAATGTTTTCCATGTTGTTGTCAGCAATCATAGAACAGTTGTTGTATTGTTGTATATTTAGTTAGAAGATGGATAGACACATGACTTCTACACAAGGGGTAATGGGATGCGAGAGAAAAAATGGCTTTTTACGTAGATATATCTAATTGAATGTGTCTTTCAGGTTTGTTAATACAACAGAAATTGATATATCAACACAAATTTACATCATTGTTTTACAGCATGATTATAATTAATGCACATACAAAAGAGTTTGCTCATACCAACATTTTCTCAGGCGTTTTCCCTGTTATATCATATTATATCATTTCAATACTATTTCTTTTTAATCTCTTTTTGATAATGATTTATGGACTTTATATATCTTATTTTCAGAGAAAGGGCTAAACATAGTATGGGATGGTTGATTGCAGAAGACAATATTTAGCGAGAGTCCAGCCTTTTATATTTTGGCGAACATAAATCAATACGTTAATTGAATGTGGCAAGAATTTTCCATATATCCAAGTTCGGAGAGGTTAAATGAGTTATTTTTGAAAAGATCCAGCATTTTTGAAAAGCAATTTACAGGTAAATCAAAGAAAAACCCTCTATATCTTTAATACACAGTTGGTGTACCAGATTCAATTTTGTGTGCTACTGCATATATAACTTTTCTTAAGGGAATTCAGTTTTCTTACATTCTCGGAATTACTAAGATCAGAGATTTGTTTTGTTTGTTTTTATGTCACATCAACACTTTACAGGTCATATAATAACTTTCAAGCTTTACTGGTGAAGGAAAAAGTGTGACATAGGTATTGTTTTTAGCGCATAGAACCACCAATATTCTATAAGTCAGTTTGGGATAGCTATGTCAGATAATAGATTCCAAAACCCCGGCAGGACTCGAACCTACATCCTACATCGTTAACACCGTAAGAAGCAAGTGTTTTGAAGTCAGTGACCTTAATCACTCGACCAAAACTTCCAATTTAGTTATCTGTATGACAGTATAGGTGCCGTTTTGTTCAGTGTTTCCTACTTATATGGCACATTATGATTTTTCACACTTAGCGTTTCTTTCAGCCGATAGGAAATTTACACGCTTTAAATTTGTTATAACAATATACATGAAACCTATTTTCTGAAGAAGAAAGCTGGGGCAAGTTTTTGCTGAGGCTAAACGTGTCTCATTAATGTATGAATTATTTGTAGATAATTCAATATAAAAATATAAATCTAAAAGCACAATGCTATCTTGCTTTTCATAGTACCTACAGTTTCAGTTTGACATGAAGTTGTTTTATTATAAAAGCAGAATGCATAGTTCGAATTTTTATTTATCATATTATGTTGTAACATTTATTTTACAGATGCAAAACAATGTGTCTCTGTGAAAAGGGTATAGGCTAAAGGTTTCAACAGCACCGGCCGAAAAGTTGAGAATTGAACAAGGGCAGGGCAATATGTATATATACATGTGTAGCGTTGTCAGACTATATGGATAGTCGGGCCTCGGTGACAAAAATGATGAAATAACATTGTGTTTTTTCAGTGTCTTAACATTCAGAAGATTCATTTTATTTTAAAATGTCATTTTACAATAAATTTTTTTACAAAACTTCCATGGTAAAGTAAGTGCAATTTAGCATTGGTAAGATATTTACTTGAAGGATTGATTTTCAGAACACAAATGCAAATACAATGTATATAAATAATAATTATTCGTGTAAAATGTATTGCAATTTTGAATTATAATATGAATTTAGATAGATTCATACAACTTTATTCTTGGTAGAGCTATCTTGTAAGAATATTTAATGGAATCTGACTAAAAGTAAAAAAAAAATATTTTATCATTAGTGGGTGGGGTAATGTTTTATACCAGTCTAAATGATGATGTATAGATTATGCAGTGTTGCGACTTTTTGAATGTAATCAACATTGGTTGAAGTGATTTTGATTAAATAAAGCATGTTTGTGTATTAATGTGTTACTTTGTTAATGATCATATTTGCGTAGAATATCTGGGTTATTTAATTTCACAGGTTTTTCTAATTGAAAACACATGATTTCAAAACATGACATTTTTAGCATTTTATACTTCGAATTTTTTTGAAGACTTTTTTCTGTAGCAACACATATATAGTAGATAACAAATATGCAAATATCTTTTCTGAAGGAATTTGTTTGAGGTTGGGTCTTATTTTTGGCTAAAATGCCTAGCCTGATCCCCATCCTAATTCCAAGGATGGAACCAGAGACCCCTTGATAACCGAATGGATGCTATCCCTATAATTAAAGTGGCGGACGAATGTATGATAACAATATGACAATTTCTTGCTAACAGATATAAGCGGGATTTTACTTCAAAAAACTTGTCAAACAAGCATGGTCCATGCATGCGATAAGATTAGAAGATATATCTTGTGGCTCTGTATCATACAATCGCTTCTTCAGAGAATTTTGTAATTTTCAGCACAATCATTGTCAATGATGTAGTAAACAGTTATTCAGTTTTCAAGAAAAAAATATTCCTAGAAAGCCCATAATTTTTATGTGTTCATTAAGTCAATAGGCTGTTCCAATCACTAATATTCACTATCACTATATTGTTTTTCAGATGATTAACTTTAACGTTTGTTAAACTATTGATTGCTTTTTTGTTCAAAGAAATTATATGTTTCTAAATTTTCTCAGTAAAAAACTAACGATACCATACAACTAATGGAATAACACGCTGTTAATATCATAACGAAGAAGCATTTAAACAGCCCTCTAATATCAAAGTACTTCATACATCAAAGCTAATTGATAATACATTTCTAGATATTAGAAGTGAATTAGAAAAGATAAGAAGTGACGAGGCGTAAAATAAGAATTATCAATGAAAATTGTAGTCACGATCCACGCAGCAGTATTTGGGCTGTTTTATAACTCATTCACTATAGAATTTTCAAAGCAGGTTAGAGGTTATATAAGGGTGAGCGATTAAAAAAAACACAAAAAAAAACAAGCAAACAAAAAACAAACAAAAAACGGAAAAAAAGTAATACAAAATACTCGTATACTGGCTACAAATAAAGGGACAAAATGAGTTATTGATGTATTCATTTTGGCCCCTGACAACGGGAAATCAATATTA